CTCGGCGTGCTGGTCATAGGTCCTGAATCCTGGTTCCGAGGTCTGGTCACTAGTCGATCATACCGCAGGAAAGCGATGTCTCCCCTCGCCCTGGCCTCCCTTAACATCGGCATCAACTCCCTTCTTCTCTTCCTCACAGACTCGGTGTAATCTTCATTTATATAAATATTAGATCCTTTAAGCTTCTTTGCTTGTTGCAGTATGTGTGCCTTATCTTTCTCTTTCATCAACTTTACCATCACCGCCCTCGGACCACGATCAGAAGGTTTCCCGACTCTGTGAGCCCGCTCCATCTCAATTTCTTGATGAATTTGCAGTTTATTCTCTTTCACTTTACATTCCGCTTGCGTCCAGCTTTCTCCAGCTGTCTCGATTCCCGCAAAGATCAAGTTTTTTCGCTTGCTTATGCAGAAAGGCCAGCGCCATGCCTCTGGCCTTTAATACATCCGCCCCACTCCTCAAGCATATTTTGTGCTGTAGTTACCAGCTTGGTAAACTCTACGAAAGTCTATGTTTCTTCATCTGTGATTATGGGGGCATTTACACTAGCACAAGCTACAAACAAGAATTGATCATGACAAGTTAGCACCTAGCTCCAGCTTGTGACTCCTGTGTATTGTATACAATACTTGACAGTCACGAACTGGGGCTAGTCTGCACCTGTAAGACTGTTGCATTGAAATATGAAGAAAATGCCCGGTATTCCTATGCGACTTGAATCCAGCAGTCTCTACAATGCTGAATGAATCCTTCTGTCAGTGCTTTTCAACGTGTACAGAAAACAATTACATGATTAAATTGTGAGATCTATAGGACAACAGAAAGCTCTGGCACAACTTCACCCACTGTCAAGGTGCACAAACAAACAGGAATGCAAAAAGTCCAGGAACAATTGCAGTGTATTGAGCAACTTTAGTTGCTGGACCTTTTGCTTTTTAGATCTATAGGACAACAGAAAGCTCTGGCACAACTTCACCCACTGTCAAGGTGCACAAACAAACAGGAATGCAAAAAGTCCAGGAACAATTGCAGTGTATTGAGCAACTTTAGTTGCTGGACCTTTTGCTTTTTAGATCTATAGGACAAACAGAACACTCAAAAACACAAAGCTAAAACATGTAATTTCAGCCTTCAACACCCTTCTGTTCATAAAGTGTAAAAAACTAAACAAAACATATAGTAGTAGTAGTAGTTTGTATACATATAGTACACATACATAACATATAGTAGCAGTTTGTATAGAGAATTCAATACACAAAGACAAGGGAACGTGTACATCATCTATCTACAGATGTACACATGGTGTATATTTTTAGAATGTCTTCTAACTGTGAAAGCAATTACTGTAAACACTAAGACTGTAAATTATTTCCCCAATAAACTTTTATTTTTAAATAGCTGAAAATTAAAAAAGCAGAGGTGAATAAAACACCACGGTTATCATCCATACATCTACATATGCATATCAGTTATGGTTGCTGTTGAAGCTGAAGACCACCTTCAGATGAAAGTCACTGCTTACGTTAATTGTTATGCCATATGTATTTCATTATCCTGAGAAAAATTCAGTATTGAAGTCCCAATTTAGTTAAATGAAACAATCAACATTGTTTATGCAAAAACACAGAGAGGACACACAGACACACTGAAAATGATAACAAAACTCATCCACTCTCAACTAAACACAAAAAACAGAAAATAAGGTAACACATGGCGGTCACATTCTTCACATCCACAGACTTCTAGGGCTTAAAAACTGATAATCTTGAATGACACTTCAACAGCATCTTTTGACAGACACTTTTCCTATAGACACTTTTTTTTGCCAATGAAACCTAATAATCTCATCACATAAATCATTCTCAAGCTAAGACTGCAGGCATGTCTAACCAAAGAAAGATTCTAAAAGCTTGCAAACAAAGACAAGAATACAACATCATCAAATGTGTTGGGCTTTCTTTTACATCACTTTAGCTCTATGGCTCCTTCAGAATGCTCAGAAAGCAAACCTGAGGAGAAATACAATTCGGATCAATATTTAGTTCTGCCCTCTTTGAAAAACATGGTCATCCTACACGGCTACTTCAAATATCATAATACCACACTCAAAATGACAGAAACACATCCAACAGTAACCATAAGAAACACAGCAAAGATCAACTTCTTGTTAGCAAAAATGTTCACAGGGATTTTGACCCACTGACTCAGCTCGCCAGATGTTCCTCCAAACAGAGAGTCCGCCATTATCGCAAGTCTTTGTTATGACAGAGCTGAAAACGGATCATGATGCAGGTGAATAGTCCACCAGTAAAAGAGACAAAAAGCTTCCAAAGGTGTTCTGGCATGCACAAGAACTTTGAAAACACTGTCCCATGATAATGCATGTCCTGTCCTCTTCAAGCGAAAACAGACAGCGAAACTCGGAAATGTCATATTCGATGTTACTTGCATTACACAGCTTGCAGTCCTCAATTATCTGTCAGTCACTTAGAACAACCACTGGTGAGCAACACCCAGTTAAAATTAGGGAAGTAAAGATATGCAAGGGAGAGAGGTTGAGAGATGTTTGGAAGTGTTTGCACCAGTGCAAATGTTGCTATTGTTGACAGTGGTATTAACCCAACAGTAACTTTCACTGTAGAGGGGGACTGAACAACTAACTCAATAGGGTTAAGTAAAAGTTAAGTTATTGTCTAAAATTAAGGTTTTAGGTGGTGATAAAAACAACTGAAGAAACTGGGGACTTTTTTTTGCTGGTGCAAATCTTACCAGGTTGGACCCTTCTGTAACGGTGCACTGAATTCAACCTCCGTAAAGAATTCAGAGGGCGAGGAGAAAACAGCTCTTTTCATTGGTTTAAACCTGGTAAGCTTCAAATCTTTCTTGGGTGTAGACCTAAAATATCTGGCAACCCAGGCAGAAAAAAGGGGGTAGCACATGTCAGCAAAATTAGTGGTGTGGTCAAAAAGCATGTCACGACTCCTCATTGCCCGAGTCATCCTCATCGTAGCAGCAGTCGCCGTCCCCACCCTCCACATCGTCGTTGTCATAGTAATAGTCATAAAAAAGGTCAGAGCCTTCATCCGGGGCAGGAGCCCGTGTGCGAACACAGTACTCGGCCAGCGTTGTGGGAACTTTAACACCATCGCGCTCAGCTTCTGCCTTAGTGGCCAAAACCTGCTTCCTGAGGGACATACAAAGAAATATATATACAATACAGTGATGACACAACACTGACTCTTCAGAAGGAGTTTTTTTTCAAAATTTAGTGTGCTGTTGGAAGAATATATTGTTATGTATAATGATGCTGTGGGACATTTTACCTGATGATCTCTACATATTCCCGGTCCTTGCCCTTGCTGTCCCTCCATTTACGGTACATGACAGAGGCGTCCACATTAGCAGGAGAGAAGGTGTTTGGTTCATTCAGAAGCGAGATCACACTCAGCAAAATGGTCCTAGAAGTAAACGCAAAGGTGAGTGGCATGTCACAGTTTTAAACCTGCCCCACAGTCACGAAAACATCCTCATAAAATGTGTGACAAGGCCATTATAAACAAAATATAAATCCATGAGTTATTTCTATCTAACCCCCTCAAACCTCCTTTTTCACATACTGTTTCACAGATATTCAATGGAGGTAAATTAAGGCCACAATGAAAGACTTTTAACTATAAATATATCTTCCAAATTATTTCCTAAAGGTAGAGTTTATGGCAGAACAGTTATACTAGTTTGGTAGAGAGGACAAAGCAGGAAGGAACCCGCAGAGGAGAGACACGAGGAAAAATAAGGGGAGGGAGTCTACTAACCGGACGTTTTGGGTGGGATTCCATCTCTCTGAAGGCAGCTCTCCACTCTGTGGGTCGTCCACTGGAGGGTGCAATATAGAAATACACACATCTCCATTCTAAAACAGAGGAAATCAACTCCTTTCACTATCAGATGCATCATGTAGCCCTTATAGATCAGCTATTTATGATGTACATTATCAAGACCACACAGGTACACACAAGCAAAACAACAGGTTAATATTTAGCCTGACTATGATACTATACCTCATAAATGTTGGGGTGCCACATCTTTGTGAGGAACCGGAAGGTAGGTGGCGAGTACGGATAATCTAGAGGGAACTTGATCCGGGCCTAGGAAACAAAACATACATGTACATGTAGATTATGCTTTTAAGGAATATATACAATGTTTATATAAGCTTAAATGACTGAAAAGCTTTGGAGCAAGCCCTAACATTTTACACGTCATATGTACGACAGCCTTGACAGTAAAAACAGGGTCAAGCTGAGTCATAACTGTGGCTGGAAAACTAATCAGATGGCAATAGAGCCCTCTGTTCCCTTTTGGGGAACAGAGGGTGATCCCCTGACTACTTTAAGACGTCATATTGTTATTAGGTTATATATGCTTTTATGAACGGCCAGATGTGCCAAATACATTTTTCATCTTAGTGTACAATTAAGTTGTATTCAGTTCTATACTTACCTTAAAATATCCCCCTTCATAATGAGTGTTAGGGGGGCCGAAAATGGCCACTTCCCAGTTGTACAAGTCAGCCTCATCGACCAGTGTTATTTTGAACCCCTCAACAGGCTCCTCCTGAAGGCTCTTCATCTCCAGCATAAGTGCTTTCTGTGAACTGGCTACGTGAGAGGGGTCGTGTTGCGCCATGCTGGACTAGGTGGCTTTCAAGATATTCTGGAGTAAACAGATGACGGTTTTGTTTACACGGCTACGTTACGTTAGCCTAACTAGCCAGATAACCTACCGGCAGTGAAAAACAACTTGTGTGTTTTCGATGTTCGGAGACAATGAAACAGGCCAAACTAGCCAGACTGCGCACAAGCCAAACGGTCTGGTCGATTGTCCCTAAACCAGTTAAATTATTTACCAATGCCAGTACTCAGAAAACGACAAACTGTCCAAACCATTGTGGCTGACCAGTGCCCAGCATTGGCTGATCCACCTGGCAGGGAGCTGTGGATATAAGCCGTAAATCTACTGGTAGCTGCTAGCCAATGTAAGATAGCTAACCAGCTCTACCTTACCTAACAGCTGACGCCGATTTTACCGTGGTGTGAACAGTTTCAATCTTCCCTCGAGAGCCAAATTAGAAAGGTAAACACACCTATTGGTCGCAAATACTAGTAAACAAAACCCTAACGATAACAGTCAGAAACCTAGCTGATAACGCCCTGACAGAAGACTGGTTAAAGAAGAATGTTGTTGTAGAGTCCCCCTCAGAACATGCAATAGCGTCCTGTGTTGTCTGGTATTTGTAGTCTTATTTTCACCCGTAAACATTACTTTCCCTCCGTTATCAGTCAAGAAGTCACACAATAGTTCATACAAGTACTTGGTTATATAAAATCTAATTTGACCGAGATAAATGTGGTTTGGTTGCGACAATTATCTTTTGAGCATTTTATTTAGGAGTTAATTCAAAGAACTACATTTGCCTGTTTCCTGGCGTCACGAAAACACGAATATTTGTATTTCTAAAAGCTGCTTTGACCCATTTTCACTCGAAAATTATTGTGAACACAATAACACATTGAATAGTCGTGTTATTATTACTGACTGTTCAATGTGTTATAACAAGTTCACTTAAACAAAAGAAATACATGTGGACTTTATTTTCGAAAGCCATACGCTTGACGTCTAAAATAAGCGCCATTTTGAAGAAAGCCTCTTTAAGATGGCTTTCTATTGCCGGCGTAATTAATGCAGATATCAGATAACAGGGTGTAAAAGTTTGTTGAGGATACATAAATTAGGGGCGAATTTGAGTGTTTGTTTGTTTGTTTGTTTGTTTGTTCTTTCAAAATAGTTTTGAAATTTGTACATAAATTGCACTTAGTGGGGGCAGCAAACAGTTGCCTTCTACGCCATATTTACGCGACAGGATCACAGTTTGGCCCCGTACTGACAGAAAATTTGTGATGGATCTGAAATCACGACGTCGGACCCGTTCCAAGTCCAGAAGTCGGAGTAGGGATTGGCGGAACAGGTCCAGAGTGAGCAAGTCTCGATCTCCAGAGGAAAGAAGAGGTCGCAGTCGGTCTGCGGACACGAAAAGAACAGTCCGGGACGGGAGACGGTCGAGTAGCAGGAACTCCAGCGATGGCTCTCCTGCCCGATGTCGGCCTCAACACAAGGACCGTCCAGACTCCAGAAGCGGCTCGGAGAGTGACAGGAGGCGAGGACTACATCGTCCCGGGAGGAAGTCAAAGGGTCGATCATCCAGGTAACCGACTTTGCTTTTGGTGTTTTGCTGGTTCTTATCGTTGTCCGTGTTAATCTGAGAAATTCATTTTATTGTAAAAGGCGATTTTGGCCACACGGCAAAAAAGCAACCGGATCCAATAGGCCTAACGTTATTTTCCTTTAAAACATTACTACTTTGAGAATCAGCATGCATATAAACATACTGTACCTCCGCAAGCCAAATACTGTACTTCAAAATACTTATCATACCATCATGCAGTTCAATTCAACTTTATTTCACGAGAATAAATCCTGATCGTGCAGATGTAAATAGGCTGCAAGTAATCAGTTAATGAGTCCTGGGTATTTTCGTTTAAAACCATTAAAATACTGAAGGTTCCTTGCTCACACAGTAGTGTTCCTGAGTGTGTACTAAGCTGTTAAGAGCCAGGTTGCTGCATAGACGGCGAGAAAGAGCAGGTGACTCTATATCAGTGGTCCCCAACCCCCGGGTTTACAGACACTTTTGCTGTTGCTTATTTTGCACAAACCAGCTACCAGTTTTTAGTGATCTTAGTCAGCTGAAAAAACTTCGTCTAAAACGTTTCACCAATCATCCAAGAGGCTTCATGAGATCTGATGAAGTTCAGTAAGTTTTTTTCAGCTTACTATGACCTGGATGACTGAAAATCTGCACAGACAGTGATCTTAGTCCTATATAACTTCCACTGTAGACAAGGATCCATTGCCCAACCAAAACATGAAGACCCATTGTTCTGTGAAGGAGTTACAGGTGAATTGGTTTCTGACTGTGGGTTTACTTTACTGAGGACCTAATAACAAGTTGTTTTTTATACACAGCCAGCTCTTTCCATGTTCTCAATTAGAGCCTGCTGACATACTCAATAAAATTTGTAATCCTTTAATCTCAAATACATGGTTGTCTAATGAGTAAACATCTAATAAACCACTTTGTCTGCTTTAGTTCTGATTCAGATTATCTCAAAGTGAGGAGGAGGAGAAAGGAAATGGAGAACCGGAGAGGAATATCTCATGACAGGACAAGGCGAAGGTCCCAGTCCACATCTGACTCCCATGATGAAAGCAGTGATAAAGAAAGAAGAAGACACAGAAGCCCTGACAGATTTAGCCCAGTCAGAGACAGAGACAGAGACAGACAGAGGAGGGAGTTGAATAGAGGCAGAGAGAAGTGGCAGAGTAGCAGCAGAGAGATGGACAAAGGCAGAGAGCGAAGGAAGAGGAGTGAAGACAGGGAGAGAGGGAGGAGTGAGAGGAGTGAGAGGAGTAGAGAGAGGGCAGACAGGGATAGAGGAAGGCAGCGCTCAAATTCACCTGAGTCATCAGAAAGCTCTGGGTCTGATCATGAGAGCCACACGCTCAAGGAAAAGGAGGACAAGAAAAAACAGAGAGAGATGATGAAAGCTCTGGAGACGCCAGAGGAGAAGAGGGCCAGAAGACTGGCAAAGAAAGAAGCAAAGGAAAAGAAGAGGAGAGAAAAGATGGGTTGGAGCGAGGAATACATGGGATACACTAATGCAGACAATCCCTTTGGTGACAACAACTTATTAGGCACATTCAAATGGCAGAAGGTGAGTTAGAGAGCAGCTTAAAATAGATGTTCACATCTTAATCGCAGATGTCATGACTTGGCTTGAATGTTTTATCTAATGCAAGAGTTTTTTTTTTCCCCTCAGGCACTGGATAAGAAAGGCATTGGCCATCTTGGAGAAAAAGACCTCAAAGAAAGAAACAAATGTATCCAAGAGGAGAACCGTAGAGAGCTACAGAAGGTCTGAGCAGAGGGCTAGTTGTTCAGTGGCAGAATAATGTCCGCAGCCTTGTTATTATAAACATCACATTTACTGTGTTTATATAGGTAAAACAGCTTCGTCTGGAGCGGGAGCGAGAAAAGGCCATGAGAGAGACGGAGCTGGAGATGTTGCAGAGAGAAAAAGAGGCAGAGCATTTCAAGACCTGGGCTGAACAGGAAGACAACTTCCATCTGCAACAGGCCAAACTACGGTTAGTGTGCATCAACAATTACTGTTTATACCCACTGGTGAAGCAATAAAGCAACAGTTCCTTTATACATATACAGTATGCACTGTCTCACACACACTTATGTGTTGTCTCTTTAGGTCTAAGATTCGCATCCGTGATGGTCGTGCCAAGCCCATTGACCTTTTGGCAAAGTACATCAGTGCAGAGGATGACGATCTTGCTGTGGAGATGCATGAACCTTATACCTTTCTCAATGGGCTGACCGTGACCGACATGGATGACCTGCTGGAGGATATCAAGGTATGATGTTACTGTATGTTGCATTTAAGTGTAAATGTTGTATGACTTGTACAACTCTATAAAACAGATGTGGTAGTATTATAACATAACTTTTTTCTAAAGATTGCAGCATCTTTTAACTCAAACTATAATGTGAGCTCAAATAAAACATCTCCTTGAAATAAATAAATTTGTAATATTGCATCACTTTCGTAGCGATTAGCTCACCCGCTGAAATGGTACGTGAGTTTTGTAATCAGTTATCTCACTATGAAATGAGACCTCACCATCTGAATAACTCACATTTCAACATGAACTGTGCAAATGGCAGCCAGCAGATGTGATTATAGTATTTTTCAAATGATCCTTACTTTCTTCTTTTACTTTCGGCTGTTCCCGTCTAGGGGTCATCACAGTGAGTCATCAGTTCTCACTATTTTTTATTCTTATGGCGCATTTGAAGTGTAATCACCCCAGACAGCAGCTTAAATCAGGTAGATCACCTGTTAGCCTGCTTATGTGTTGGGCACCTTTTATTTAAATCTCTTCTGATGGATCAGGCTCCTTGTGTGACTGTGAGCTTTGGGATTTTACTGCCCCCTGCCCTTTGTAACAAGATGGGGAAAATTAATAAATCCAAACATATAAAGACTACACTGCTGATTCCTTGCTGATAAGCCTACATGAAGACTGCGCTGTCCTACTTGTGACAGACTACTGATCTGATGAGAGAGGCTGCACAGAGCAGTGTGGATAGAATAGTCACACATACGCGTCGCTCACTTCTCGTGATGTTCCAGTTTGAAGTTAGTTGTGGCTGAAACCCACCATCAAGCCTTCTTTAAATAGGAGGCTACTAGTAATGTTAGCCCAGAAATGAGCTGGTACTTCGCCAGGTGAGTGAGAGAGCTGAACTGTGCATGAAGTCCAACACCTACATCGCCAGACACTCAGATGCAGACAAGTGATTAGAGATGTTTTATTAGTTGTTTTACACCTATCTGTAGATGGTTTACTGTATGGGTGGTGATGGTGTTGTTACTGATAGGTGTATATGGAGTTGGAGCAAGGCAAAAACGTAGACTTCTGGAGAGATATGACGACCATCACAGAGGACGAGATCAGCAAACTGAGAAAACTTGAGGCCTCTGGGAAAGGACCAGGTACAGGGTTTTTTTTTTTTATCATCATCATAAAGTAATTAATGTAGATTTTTTTTTCTTTTGTGATGTCACATCTGAAACTGTGTGCATCTGAGAAATCGTGTTATTTTTGTTTTGTGGTTAACATGCAACAGGAAACCTGCTCAGCAGTCTTTTTTTTTTTTTTTGCACTCTTTTGTATTCTCAGGAGATCGCCGTGAGGGCATCAACACGGCTGTGAGCACTGATGTGCAGACTGTTTTCAAAGGAAAGACTTACAGCCAGCTGCAGGCGCTGCACCTGAACATCGAGACCAAGATTCGGGCTGGAGGATCCAATCTTGATATTGGTTACTGGGAGAGTCTGCTGCAGCAAGTCAGAGTCTACATGGCTAGAGCCAGGTACAAAGATGGACAAATCCACTGGTTTTTGCTCTTACCATAATTTAAATGATTTATTTGACTGCCCTATTAACACATACACAGTCTAATTCTACAGCAACAAGATAGCACTTTGTGTGTCTGGGCATCCACTAGAAACATGTGTCAAACTACAATTTTATGTCCCAGGTTGAGAGAGCGACACCAGGATGTGCTGCGCCAGAAGCTGTTCAAGCTGAAGCAGGAACAGGGGGTGGAAAGTGAACCTTTGTTCCCCATCATCAAAGAGGAGCCAAGGAGCGAGGAAGAAGAGTAAGTTACCCAGAAACCACACACTGCACACATCCTCAAAGTGCGACTTTGTGACTGTTACTCTGCCTATTTTTAGTGATGGTGACATGTGGTTCTAATTTCACTAAACATTATTTTAATTCTTGCTTCTGTGTTGTATAAGCTTAAAAATATGTAAACCTGTGGATGCATTGACTCCTTGCTTAATGAAATTAACCCCAAATATTTTTTAACAGCAGCAGGAAATCAGGAGAGCAAACTAGGGTGACCACACCAGGAGAACCCTGCCCGTCTTCCTCTTTGTCCACCACAAGACATAACAGAGAACAAGATGATGAGGTAGAGGAGGCAGGCCCATCCACATCAGGAAACCAGGAGGGTGGAGGAGAAAAGGGGGACGAGAAGGATGAAGAGAAGAAGGGTGAAGTGGTGGAAGCTGTGCTGACTGAGGAGGATTTGATCCAGCAGAGTCAGGCGGAGTACGACTCTGGGCGCTACAGCCCAACGCTACTCATGCCATCTGAGCTGCCGCTGGATACACACACAACCACACTGGAGGAGGACATTCACAGACTGCAGTTAGCACGCAGGCAGCTACAAGTCACCGGTACGAGATGAACACACACACACAGTTTGAGTCACAAAAATAGCTCACATTGTAAGACTAAACAGTAGAAAATATTTAAAGCATTTTATAGAAACAGTTGAGTGGAAGTCCACAGACCAGTCTTCATGATCTTGTGTACAAAATGTTAACTTATGAATATGGTACAGATGTATGGCTTCACTGCTGCTTCTTTAACATTTTGTCAGGTGACGCCAACGAGAGTGCAGAGGATGCCTTTGTACGTCGTGCCAAAGAGGGTATGGGCAATGACGAAGCCCAATTCAGCGTGGAGTTCCCGGTCGCGGGGAAGATGTACCTGTGGGCAGACAAATACCGCCCCAGGAAACCTCGCTTCTTCAACAGGGTCCACACAGGCTTCGAGTGGAACAAATACAACCAGACACATTATGACTTTGACAACCCTCCACCCAAGATTGTCCAGGGTTACAAGTTCAACATCTTCTACCCGGATTTAATTGACAAACGCTCCACCCCGCAGTATTTCCTCGAGCCCAGTCCTGACAACAAGGACTTTGGGATTTTAAGGTTCCACGCAGGCCCTCCCTACGAGGACATTGCCTTCAAGATTGTAAACAGGGAGTGGGAGTACTCACATCGTCATGGCTTCCGCTGTCAGTTCGCCAATGGGATCTTCCAGTTGTGGTTCCACTTTAAGAGGTACCGCTACAGGAGATAGAAACCACGGACCAGGAGCCCAGTCACTGGGTTTTATTTAGGTTGTACAGTCACTGTGCTTTACTCAACTGTTAAATGTGCTCTGCTCTCACAGGAAAGCAGGTTGTTAAAGCTACAAATAAGTTCCTGTGGTTTTCTAAAACGAAATTTTAATGTAGTTTGAAAAATCACATATTAAAGATTCTCCCCCCCATGTTTTTATCCTTTACAATATGCCACAGGTTAATGGTTTTCTGTTGTGAACACAAATATAGATTGTACACTTAGAGGGAATTAAAACAACAAACATCGAAAATTGGTATGTCTTCAGAAAGAGACATTTTCCAAGGTCAAGTCCAGTCTTACAGGAAACTAACAAACCCTGCTGGCCACATTTAGAAACATGGTTTAAATCAGTGCAGCTGAAATCTTTGCAACTAGTGGTTAGATATGAAATGGCTCAATTTCAGGTACTGTGCATTCGCTATGAAAATGAAACCAGTGCTTGCAACGTAACTATAATGGAATTTACAACAAGTAGTAGGAAACTAGCAAACTTTAAAATGTCCATACAAATTGCAAAACAAAACACAGAAATTCAAGTGTGTCAACTTTCATTTAGTCTCAACAGTTCATGGTCACTCATGTGGTTTCAGCCACTTGAAGATGAATCCAGTAGTTCTTGTTTGGGGCATTCCAATTCATTTGCTCTGCGTGAATAGCGTTCAGTAACAAACAATGTGCCCGTCGTGTTCAAATTTCTGACTCATCATCAATGAACTGTAGAGATGGCAGGTTAACTTCTGGCTCATTCTCCTCTGCAACACTGACTGCTGCTTCTCCTCTGGTGTGGTTGTTATTACCGCTGCCGCCATCTCTTCCTGAGACCAGGGGTTTGTCCTCTGCGAGCGCAGGCCTCGGTGTCTCTCGGTAGATAAGAGCAGAGTTCTGACCCCTCTCCTTTTGGGTCCCCTGGGATTGTTCTCCATTTTTCTTTACACAGGGCAGAGGTAAGTGGCCTTTGTAAACGTTCCAGGCCACAAGGGCAAAAAAGGAAACTACAAGCAGCCCAACTACAACCTGCAGTCCAACCACAGAGGGGCCATCATGAACCCGGGGAGACACTGTCCCACCGCTCTTGCCGGAGCCTGCTTGGGCTACTCTGACCTGGTACTTTGCTACAGTGGTTGTGTACGTGGCAGTTTTGGAGTGCTCCACTGACAGACAGCGGTACAGTCCAGCATCTGTGTTTAAAGCATTGAAGATAATCAGTCCATCTTGTAGTAGCTGAAGGCGAGCTGAAGTTGACAGAGGACGGTTGTCCAGTTCCCATATAGTCTTTGCCAGGTTAGAAGGTGAAGGGCAACTGAGATTCAGTTTGGCACCCAGCCAGACAGACCGGTTCATGGGTGTAACAGGATCTAAAAACAAAAATGTCCTTCACCTAAGTATTTTCATTTTGAGAATTGACTACCTCAGTTAAGGAGTGGAAAATGTAGCTCACCAGCATCTGGGCAAAGAGAAGCATCTCCTCCTTTCACACTTTGGATTAGTTCTCTGAAGCAGAAAATGAAGTCATTTAGTTTGGATAGTACTGTCTGATATCAACACTGCTTGCTCTACATGTTAGGACTGCTGCTTACCTTTGTGAATTAGAGAGGACAATACACTTGCCAACAACTTTGTCCCAGCCACAGTATGGGTCTCTGGCAAGAACGCAGTCTGCACAGGACAAGGACCTCTCACAGGTGGCCAGTGGTATCTGTGCTGCCCCATAGTCTGAGCCTGCATAGAGCTGACCCTGTACATAATAGATCCACCACACTAATGTATGCGTTTTACCATAATGTACCATGAACATACGTATAATAATGATTTAAAATAAGCCATTAGTTTGACTATGGCAAAGTTTTAAATTACCTTGACATTTGAAGTTTTCAGAATCTTGATCGGCTTTGGAGGCTGGAAAACTTGTATTTCCTCTATGATGAACATTTCTCCATCATAGTTCACAGCTTTCAGCACAGTGCCCTCCGCTTTTTATATAAGACATAGAACTTTAACATTCTGGCAACATACAGCCTTAAAAGCATCATTACACTGTTATCAAAAGCAGCAACATGAAACATATACAGGATGTGGAAGTGTTCAGCACAACCCAGAACACACCTGTGCCTATAAACATCACGTGGTGCTTCTCGCCATCCGCAGCCTGCACTTGGTTGACTACGATGCCTGTAAATGTGGCTCCCCTTCGCACCAGCAGAGGCTTCTCTCCTATTGGCTGAATAGCTTGGTCCATGAGGGGCTTATCTTTGATAAACTGCAGGGTCCGGTCTGGGAGGTCCAGAGTCTGAGTTATCCCCAGTTTACGAGCCTGATTGTTTATACACTGGCAAGGAAAGAGGGGAAGGAAAGAGAAAACAGAACAACGGAGTCAGAGAACAAAAAGAATCTGTTTCCTGCTGGGCCACTTGTAACTTTTTTTTTTTTTTTTTTACATCGCCGTTCCCTGTGAGAGTCGTCTCCTGCACACATGCTAAATAGTGGGCAGACTCACAGCTCCGGGGCGGGGGACGGGGATATCGCCACTGTGCATCACCCACTTAACAAAAGAGGTTTCTACGGTGACTGGGGATTTGTACTTCCCTTCTGCAAACACTCTGCTGATGTCAGACACACGGTACGCACACACGGCAGACAGCTTTAATGTGTCCCTGAAACACAAAAACACACACAGCAAATGTGAGCCAAGTAGCCAAGACACCCTGCTCCCTCCAACACAAACTTGGCTGTTAATTCAAACGTACAACTGCGGCGTGAAGATGGCGTAGAACAAGCAGTCCTTCCATTGCTGCTGGGGATCACACCATCGGTAAGCATCCTGGATAATGTATGGCAGTTGGGGCTCCAGCACTGGACAGTCCAGTCTGGCCTTTAGGAAGGATGTCCACTTCTTCTGCAAAGTCCTCAGACCTCCAAGGTCACCCTGTGGGCACAGACCAACACCATGATGCCAAAATGTCAGATGGAAAACTCATGAAGACAAAGGGGAACCATCGTCA